TCGAACTGCTGAAAGAAACCTCAGTGAGTTAAGGAAAGAAAATGCTTACAACAGACAAAAGTAAGTACCTTAAAGGAAGCACTTTACAAAGTTAGTCACAACTTTTATTAATTGTATAAGTCTATTTAAGGATAAATAAGTAAACTTGCAATGTACTAGCATACCCAGTTGTGAAATATCTTAGTTTTATTAGGTGTGTATGGTTTTCTTATTGAAATACTTGTCCTAAAAAGGTCCCTGAAAGAGAACTTGAAGGAAACTATTCTCAAATTCTTCTGTAAGAGGTATAATTAAAACTCATTTTAAACCAGTGTAGGTACAGAGAGGTAAAAAGGAAAGAAAATTTAAAAAAGGTGAATCTTTCTGATATCATATGTTTAGAGTATCAGCATTTTTTTTAAGGCTAAATAGATATAACAATATTGGATGGCATTGTTGTACAGTCATAAAATGTAAGGTGGATGGGAAGGGTACAGTAACAGGGAAGTCTAAATGGTTTTCTATACAGGTAGTAACAGTCTTCTGATAGCTTTATGTTTTCTTGCCAGACTGTTTGGCCAACAGTAGTGAATATTATTAGTTTTAGTCCTCTTCCTTGTCTTTTCTGTCAAAAATTTAAAATGGTTAAATGTTTTATTTCAGGTCTGGTAATGAAGAAATAGAGTAAGATTCATTTGAAAGTTCACATTTTTAAGACAAAAAGTTTTTGAGTAATCTAGTAGGATGAGTTAATGGAATTTCCAGTTTTATGTTATGAATCTGGATAAAACTGCCTTATGTTAAGATTCCAGTTGGAATGTTATGGGTCACATTATAACTGTAAGTGTATCACCTCAGGAGTGCTGTCTTTTGATCCTGGTGCTTTTGTTTGTAACAAGTCATTTAAACTCCTACCCTTAGTTTTCTTCATTATAAAAAGACAAATTTGAACTTGTTGACCTGGCTTTTCCATTTCAAAAATTTGTATTCTGTGAAATATTACTTACTTTACATTGTACGTTAGTTTTGAGGAAAGACTGTCACAGTCCCAGATCTCAATGGAACATCACTAATCCGTAAGCAACAAGGAACTGGTTGCCCCAACATAAGTAATGGGAGGTGTAGCAAGGTCCTTTGGTCAGAATGGAGGATCTGTTCCTGTACAACAGTGCTGAGTGTGGGGCATTTTTCTTGAAATGTGGGTGCTCCTCTTGAATAAGTAACTTCATGATGTTTGTTCTCTATTTGCAGATTAACTGAAACAGAGTTTAAATTTGAACTTTTAGAAAAAGATCCTTATGCACTTGATGTTCCAAATACAGCATTTGGCAGAGGTAGTCTTTTTTTTTGATCCCTAATTTAAAATATATATTATATTTATATATTGTAATTAAGTTTATATTAGTATAAGTTAACACTATTCTTTATAAATAATTTAGGTTTTGGACCTTGGGTTCTGTTCTAAGCTCTCAAAAATTCCAAGTGTGTGGAATTTGTTTCCCTAGCAATAAAAATACATTATTACTGTCATCTTCAAGATAATACATTTCTAGTTCTATGATCTCCTTGAAAAGTCAAGTGGTTGACACTTAGTAAGGCACCCATTATTTGTGGGGATAAGAAGTTCTCAAATGGAATGGCATTGTGACTCTTTGCATTTATGCTTAATTATTACATTTATTTGGATTATAAACATGGAAATTAAAATAATTTTAAAGTATTTTTTAATTTAAAAGGTGGGGAAAACTTAATAATCTGAGTTTTGATTGATTGATTTACCCTTATGGGGAACCAGTTCTTTGTAAATTGTATTTAATATTGTCCTTTCATTCTGAGATGGCATCTTTAATTGTCTCAAACTATTCCATATAGTTTAAATATTTAAAGATAGTTTTGGTTAAATTTGAACTAAACACTTGCAGCAGTGAAAATAAATCTGTGCTTATATGAAGAGAATTTCATTTTAATAACCTTTGAAAGTTATAAAAATTACTTGAGAGTCAACTTTCCTAAAATGAAGATCTCCTCATTTACATTTAAAAAGTATTAGATTATTGTGAATTTTAAGTAGTAACAATTTGGATTGGGAGTAGTATATAGAAGGAATCTAATGCAAAAGCCTCAGAAGGGAGGGTAAATAATGCTTTTATCTTTTGTTGTGTTTGAGTATTATAGTAGCTGACTTACTATTTGTAAAAGTGTTGCTTCAGTGATCTTTTTTTGTTGTTTGTTTTTTTGTTTTCTGTTTTTGGGTAGGGTCTACAGGGTGTTCAGGGTCTCATTACTAGACCGGACTCATAGTGATCCCCCTGTTTACATCCTCCCAAGAGCTGGGATTACAATTACAGGTGTGCGTGACCACAGCCAGTCTTAATTGCCATCTCAGCATGGCTCGTGGTTGGGGCTGGCAGGGAAGGCCTGGGAATTGAGCCCCAGCCCCTGCACCTGCTTACAGGTGCTTTTTTTTAATCCACTGAGTTATTTGGCTGGCCCTTCAGTGGTCTTTTAAATTTGGTTTTTGTTGATTTTTTTACCTTTAAAGCATAACTATTATTTTGAAAGTGGTTAAGTTTGTAAAACATTAGGGCTCTTGGTTATATGGATTATAGAGAAAATGATTTTCTGATAAATTATATATGCAAAATTTTTATTTTTTTTACTGGTAAGGAATCAAATGTAATGTCTGATGTTTTATAGTGTTTTATGCATTTTTCTACCTTTCAGAATCTGAGTTTTACTCAAACATTTAATTGCCCCAACATAACATATCTGGTTCTGATTTAAATGATCACTACCATATTGCAGCCCTCATCAGTTGAAATGTCTGGAACCATACTGCCATTAACAATAAAACAAAGTGTATTTCATGCTCCCAGATCCTCCTTTACCCCTACATCCTTTGTTTAGCCTCTGTGGTTATTTAAGTGTATTAATTACCAATAGGGTAATGTTTTTGTTAAGTATCTCTTTGGTACACTTCAAAAACACTAGATTCCCTATTTAGTTCAGTCCTGTATTAGAAAAACTAAAGGCATAGCATTTAACACTGGGATTAAACTAGAGTTGGAAATAGGGTAACCTGATGGTAATTGTTGAAATGGGGCTCTGTCTTTACAGTGTAGCTAACTGAAACTATGAATTTAAATATGCTGTTTTAATTATTCCAGAGCATTCCCCATATGGTCCCTCACCATTGGGTCGGCCTTCATCTGAAACGAGAGCTTTTCTCTCTCCTCCAACCTTGTTGGAGGGTCCACTCAGACTCTCACCTTTGCTTCCAGGGGGAGGAGGAAGAGGTATATTGTTTAAACATTCTTTTACTCTAAATTTCTTTCTTTTCATTTTTTTAAATCTGAACTTACCTTTAAAATAATTTTTCAAATAAACACTTGAAAAATACAGGCATTCCTTGAACTTATTGTGGGTTGTTTTTGGAATACAGTCTGTACAACATGTAATTTTAATGTATTGTTCTCTTGGAAATAGCGTTTTATAAGTTGAGCATTCCAACTCTGAAAATCTGAAATCCAGAACTTTTGGGGCATAGCGCTCAAAAAGTTGTGAAGTTTGGAGCATTTCATATTTCATATTTTTAGATTAGAGATGCTCAGCCACTAAACTAAAAATATTTTAAATACAGAAAATTTCAAAATTGGAAAAACTTCTGATCTTAACCATATCTGATAAAGGGATAGTCAACCCATACTAGCTAACACTTTGATAAAGGATTTCATATACATATTTTATTTTATTTGTTATTGTATTTTATACTTTGAGACAGAGTATCATGGTGTAGTGGAGTCTGACTTTAAACTTGCTTATGTAGCTCAGGCTGTCTCACAGCAATCCTCCTGCCTCAGCCTGCTGAGTGTTGGGATCACAGCATGCGCTACCACCCCCAGCTCATATCTTAGTTTTAAAAAGCAATAAAAAGCTGTAGTAGTATATATTATATAAAATAAAACTTTTCAAAATATGTAAAATAGATTAGCATTTAAGCTAGCATCAAATTTTGTTTTGATAAAACTATTAGAATGTAGAATTAAAAAAGTAAAACTTTATTATTGTTATATTTTATTTTGGAAAATCAGGCAGCAAAAGGATCTTTTTCGTTTTTAGAGTGAATGATTTCAGTGGTGCCCTTGGAGGCAGAATTTTATTGGAATCTGAGAGAACTAGATCATTTGTTAATAACTTTCAGAATACAGATTTTACCCCCTGTGCCCTCATCTGTTTTTGAGAATTTGTATTTTGAAAAAAAACTTGATCCTTCTGCATTTATCTCCTCATTGTCACCCTTGCATCACAGAGGCTCTCATGCCTTTGAAGACTTGTTTGCTTTGAGGTTTCCTTTTCATTCTCTGACAAACTTTCTTCACTTTGTCAAGTTGCTTTGAAGATTTTCCCTCTATTTGTGGCCAAATTACAAAATAAAAGTTATATTCCAAAATCAAACATTGTAGGGGGCTTGCGCATTAGCTCAGTTGTTTAAAGCACCTGCTTGGGCAAACCCAGTCCAGTGCAGGGGGCCACAGTTTGATCCCCAGCTCCGCATGCCCCACCAGATCTGCCCAAGAGTCCTTCTTAAAATCAAACGTTCTAGTTTTTTAGTCTATATCTTTTTTTTTCCCTTAGTACCAGGAATTGAACTCATGACCTTGTGCTTGCCAGGCATGCCCAGTGCCACTGAGTTATACCCTCAATGCTGTGTTGAATGACAGCTGGTGGTGGTCTTCACTAGTGAAGTGTTCCTACCCTTTTGTCAGAGATTTTAACAAGTTGAATTTGAGCTAAGATCATAAAGTACAGAGTCCATATAAAATCATAAATACTCTCAACATATCAAAGCTCATATGCTCAAATTAAATTTGGTACAGAGAATTGAATCTAGAACATTCACGAAGAGCTTCATCTCTGGTCTTTTAAAAATTGTTATTTAGACAGGGTTTCCCAAAGTTGCTAAGGTGCCCCAGGTAGGCTCAAACTTGGAGTCCTCTTGCCTCAGCCTCTCAGTGTTGGCATTATAGGAGTGCTATATCACCTCTGGCTGATATTACCCCGTTAGATAGTTCTGAGGGCATCTCCCTCAGGAAGCTGCCATTCTTAATATTGGGAACTCTTCCTTTGGAGCTGCCTTCAAAGGATTTGAGGAAATTGTTTTCTTACTCGATGGTCATGAGATAATCTCCCTTTCTCAGTTTCTTTTTTTTTTTTTTTTAGTAGTACCAGGGATTGAATTCAGGATTTTGTGTTTTCCAGGCAAGCACTTATTCTGCTGAGCTATCATCCCATCCTCTCTATGTCTTCTGTCTTTAATTTATTGCACTTAAAGCTGATCCTTCCCGATTTCTAGTTCTCTGCAGATTGGACCCATAGCCTGGCCTCATCTCAGCGAGAGCCTTTGCTTATGTGGTTTAGAACTGGCAGCCCTGTAGTCTGTGCTATGGACTGGGTAACAGGTGGGGCTTGGGCTGCACTGGTCACTGAGAAAGGGACTCAGTTTGAAATTTATGTGTCTGCTGTATAGCTTAGGCCATAGTGCTGTCAAGACACTCCTCACCCCAGGTTTTCACTTTGACTTATAATAAGAAATGAGCTCTGTATCCAGTCATATTTTGAACCAACATAATATAACCCTTTTTTCATTTTTATTTTTGTTAGGACATGTTTGCCGTATATAACAATTATATTAATCATGGGGAAATATAGTAATTGAGACACTACATGAACTAGTAATTACCATTAACAGTTTTAATGATTTGCAGCATTTTCAGTCTTACTCTATTTTGCTGAAAGACAATACTGATTAAGTTTCACTTACCACACCTAGGTAGCAAGTAGAAGTCTGAAAAATCATCCTGAATATCATATAATTGGCTGAACTGCATATAGGAATCACTGGAAGTTCAGTTACATAAGTCAAGGATTGCTTGTAATCAATTGGTTATTTGAAATAAGAGTAAACATTACCTTTGATTTCTCCTCTCCTGTTTAAATTACTTTCCTCTCCTATTTAATTGCTTTCAAGATACAGTATGTTTAGTTTCTTGCAAAGGTATTTTACTTTTTGCTTAAAAAGCTACAGAATTTCTTGGTAAGTTATTAGCAGGACTTCGAGGAGTTGCTTTTGGCTGAATTTCTACAGCCTACCAAAGAAGGATGAAGTGCTTTTTTCCCCCTTCCTTTTGCTATCTTTTTAAACCTGAAAGTTTGCATGAGATGTATGTTTGAATAAGATTGAACACAAAGAAAACTTTTAAATAAATTATATATGACTTTAGTCTAACCCCCCCCCCCCAAAAAAAAAAAAACAACTTTAACCCTTAGTAATTTCTCCTGATTTGTTGGTTGCCCTGTTAGTTTTGGTCCTGCAGTTGTGAACTGTCAGGTGAAGCTGTTAAATATGTCTAAAGCTCTGTATCAATCTAGAAATAAAGTCAGTCTGATCGATTCCTGAGCATTTTCTGCTTGTCCAGCTGCCACCTTCTAGTTAGAAGGATGAACAAACTAAGGAAAAGTTTGGGGATTTTGATAGATACACAACCATAAAGAAAAAATGGTGAGATATTTGACCTTCTGACATAAAAACCAATTTGACCTGACCCTACAAATGAGTAGCTTGGAATTTTAAAAAAGATTACTGTGTGTTAAAAAACAATACTCCCACTGTTTTTTTTTTTTTTCCTACCAAGATAGGTCAGATTAATTTTGGTCTGTCCTTTTAAAGGAGGTACTAAAGTGGGACAAGCATTTTACTTAGTTTTTTTTTTTTTTTTAATTAAAAACCATCTAAAAGTTGTTCATTAGAAAGAACAAGCTTTTATTTACTGAAAAATAGAAATTTGAGATTCCTAGTTGTCCCCTCAATGATAGACAAGTAAGGTATTAATGTTTTTTTTTATCCTTTTTCACTTTAATTGAATGTAGGGATAATGACTAAGGTAATGTTCTTTCTGAGACCATAAAAAGGGGACATTTTTATTTCCCCGGTGCTGGGGATCAAAACCAGGGCCTTGCACGTGTCAGGGAGGCACTATACTCCTGAGGTAGATCCTAGGCCTGAGATAGGAGCTGTAAAATGATGCCACCCTTTATTTACATGCCACCCTTTATTAAGTATTAGCAGCTCAGGTTTTCTTGTTGAAATAAATATTACCTCCCGGCTTCAGTCCTGTTGTTTTTGAAATTTGTTTTAGATTTGTCTTCAGAGCTTTTGAGTTCTTTTTGAATGTGAATATAATATTTAGAAATTACTTAAAAGTCATTGAGAGCTAGGTTTATCTGGTGAATATAAATGTTTTAATTAAGTTGATTAAAATAATTTTGGACCAGAACTAAAGGGTCATGTTATACCATTGAGATGCAATTTTTGGCATATCTTTTAAGGTAATTTGAGTAAATTGCATTTCCAAATGAGTTGTTCCAAAAAAAAAAAAAATACTTTGAGTAGTAGCAGAGCTATTAAACTAGTGTGTAGCTCCTAAAATGATTGAAAAAAAAATCATACTTATTTTGACTATTGACATTAGGTTAAGCAACAAACCCTAATTTTGCAACTATTTAATTTTGTCATTACCTAATTATATCTAATGCAAATATCTTTAAATTTACCTTCTATACCCTTATTTTTCAGATTTCAGATTTGTGATTTAATCGTTGATTTAACTGTAAAATGATGGTGATGATAGTGTTTAAAAATGAATTTTGTAGGCAAGTCTTTATGAATGCTGCAAAAAAATTTTCTCTTTTGTTAGGATAGAATCATAGTCTACATATGTCTTAAAGAAACTTTGGTTAGAATCTATATTTACTTTTTACATACAGTATCTTGTTAAAGATTAAACAGATTTGGTTGTTCCCCCCCCTCCTTTAATTAGGCACAAGAGGCTTAGAGAATCCTCTGGACCATCAGATTAGCAATGAAAGAGGAGATTCAAGCTATGATAGGTTGGCTGATCCTCATAGAGCACCTTCTGACACTGGATCTCTGTCACCTCCATGGGAACAGGACCGTAGAGCGATGATTCTTCCACCAGGTATGCAAAGAAAATAGTATTTATGCACATGGGACATTGAAACAGAAACAGGCTCTGTGTGTTCTCCCTTTAATTTTTTTTTCATCTAGGCATCTGTCTGATGTCTGTCTATCTGTCTGTCTGTCTATCTATCTATCTATCTATCTATCTATCTATCTTGGTTCTTTGAGTCAGAGTCTCATTATGTAGTTCAGCTAGTTCTCAAAGTCACTATGTAGCCCAGGCTGGCCCTTCAACTCACTGCAGTCTTCCTGCCTCAGCCTCCTGAGTGCTGGGATTATAAGCATACACTACCATTTTTTCCTTCTATTCTTTATTTTCTTATTCCCTCTTCCTTTTTCCTCTCCCCCCTCTCTTGTTGCCCTTCTCATTTGAATGTTTTCTTCCTGTTTCCTAATATCTGTTATCTATTTTAATCCTTATTTATACTTTTGTTATCTCCTATGAGTGAAACTGCAGTATTTAAACATGTGTCCAGTCTATTTCACTTAAGAGTATGGTCTCATGGTATATCCATTTAACTAGAACTGTCTCAAATTTATCTCCCCTCTCCCCCTGTACAAGGCAGGAATCAAATCCATCAGGATCTTGTGCTTGTCAGGAAGGTGCTGTGCTGCTGAGCTATATCCCCAGCCTCTTTTGTACAGCACAGTAGTACTCCATTGTATTAAAAAAATACCCTTTTTTACATTCATTGATATATGGGCATTTAGGCTGTTTCTGAGATTTAAATATCACAAAGTATGCTAATATAAAGATGGATGTGCATAAATCACTGTGGTATGATGCTTTAAATTCTTCTGGGAAGATAGCAAGAAGGGGACTAGCTGGGTTGAATGGAGCTTCTAGTTTTAGTTTTTTTGAGGGATCTCCACACTGATTTCCACAGTGGTTGTACCATTCCACCAATGGTGGGGAAGTGATTTTTTTTTTCCCCCATAGCCCTGCCAACATTTGTTACTGGTTGATTTCTTGATGATAGTCAATTGTTGCTTTAGGTGGAGTCTCAACATTGTTTTAATTTGCCACTCTCAAGTGTGCAGTGATATTGGACATTTTTTCATGTATTTATGTGCTTTTTGTGCTTCTTCATCTGCGGAGTGTCTGTTCATCTCAGATGCCCATTTTTGAATTGGATCTTAAATTTGGGGGTGGTCTGAGTTCTTTATATATTCTAGATATTAGTCCTTTGTCTAAGGAACAGCTGGAAAAATTTTTTTCTCACACTTTGTGAGTTACTGTTTCTGATAGGTTATGGCCTTAATGCTGCTGCCATTGCTGTTGCCTCTAAAACTGATCAGTTTCACTTTGTTGATTTCTTCTGCTGTCCAAAAGCCTTTTAATAAGATGAAATCCCAGCTGTTTTTTGTGGTAGTTTCTTTGCAGTTGAGGTTCTTGTTCATGAAGTCTTTGCATACACTAGTGTCTTCAAGAGCTCTACCTATTCTGTTTTCTAGCAGATTTAGTGTTTTTGTTTTAGTATTTAGATCTTTGATCCATTTCAACTTTTTTTATTAAAGAGACTGTCTTTCATCCATTCAGTGTGTTTCATGCCTTTGTCAAAGATAACATGGCTGAATGTGTTTGGAGTTGTATCTGTGTTTTGTATTCTGTTCCATTGATCCTCAGGTCTTTTATTGCCAGTGCCATTGTCTGTCTGTCTGTCTGTCTGTCTGTCTGTCTGTCTGTCTGTCTCTTTCTCTCATTTGATACTGATAATCAAACTCAGGACCTTTTGCTGAGGCACTATGTTGCTGAGCTATATTCCTGTCCCTGCCTTGCTGTTTTTTTATCACAGTACTTCTATAGTATTATTTCACATCAGGGATTGTGATGCTCTGGGCCTTGCCTTTGTTACCCAAAATTGTTTTTGCTATTCTAGGTCTCTTCTGCTTTCAAATGAATTTTAGGCTTGTTTTCTCTAATTCTGTGAGATACGCTATTGATATTTTAAAATATGGCTATTTTCACTATTTTTGTTCTTCCTACACAAGACCAAGGCATGTCTTTCTGTTTTCTGATATTCTCTTCAATCTTCTTTTTCATAACACTGTAGTTTCTGATGTAAAGGTCCTTTACATCCTTCATTAGATTGATTCCTAGGTATTTCTTTTCTTTGGATGCTATTGTGAAAGATGCTATTTCTTAATTTCTCTCTCAGTAAGTTTGTTATTTGTGTATGGGAATGCTATTAATTTTTGAATGTTGACTTTTATCCAGCTACACAAATAAATTTGGTTATTAAATCTATAAGTCTTTTGGTGGAGTTTTTGTGGTCTTCTATGTATAGTAGTATCATGTCATCTGCAAATAATAATTTAACTTCGTCCTTTCCTGATTTATTGCTTTTATTTCATTCTCTTGTATCATTGCTCTGTCTAATGTTTCTAGGCCTATATTAAATAAGAATGGTGATAGTGGGCATCCTTATCTTTTTTCTGATTTTAGAAAGAAAGCTTTCAATTTTTTTCCATTTAGTATGATGTTGGTTTTTGGTTTGCTATAGATGGCTTTTATCAGATTGAGATAAAGACCATCTATTCAGTTTTTTATGGGGTTTTGTCTGCTGATTGATTTGCAACACCCAGCTGAACTGAACCAGCTTGGTGCTGGGTGTGGGAGGCCCACCTGAGGATTGCTGATGGCAGCATAAGAGGCAGAACAGGAGAAGAGTAGCAGCTGTTGTGAGCTGTTGGTTCTCCTTGGAGGAGCTTGTCATGCTGGCTTTCCTTGTTGTCCCTGAGAATGGCTGCGGTTCACTTCGAGCATCTCTCCTTGGCTGTGGAGGCGAAGATGGTGCATTGCTCAGTCTCCTGGAGAAGCTTGTGGCACTGGATTTCCTGAGGGGAGCTTGGCTGTTTTCATCATTGGAGGAGATCAGGACCTCACTATTGCTGAGGATGGTTGTGGTACTTTTTTGGGGAGAACTCTGGTTCTTACTCTGAGCTTTGCTTCCTGGCTCCAGTGGAGATTCCTCAGCTTGCTAGTGCAGATCCTTTATCCCACTGGCATAGACTCTCTAGCTTCCACCACTGACGTTTGAGACATTGTTATGGGCTCTTGACCTCCAGTTAAACTCATGGGGGGCATTGTTATGAACTCTAGGTCGTCAGCTGGATTCATGCAGGACATTGCCATGGGATCCAGACCCTCAGCTGGATTCTTTGGTCTTTACTGTGTGGACAGATTTCCTGCACTCTTTTTGTATATGAGTCTTTGATTGACTATTGTAAATAATCTTATAAATTATGTATCCTGCTTTATATTGTTCTCCTTGCAAAATCCTTGACTACAACAGGTTTTTATTATGAAGGGATGTTGGACTTTGTCAAATATATTTTCTGTGTCTATTGAGATGATCATGCTTTTTGTCCTTGGCTTTGTTAATATGTTACATAACATGTACTGATCTGTGTATGTTGAACCATCCCTACATCCTTGGAATGAATCCTACTCTTGGTCATGGTGTATAATCTTATGATTATTATTTGCTGAATTCTGTTTGCCATTATCTCCCTGAGGATTTTTGCATCTATATTCATTAGGGAGATTGGCCTTTAGTTCTGTTGGTTTCTTCTCTGTTTTTGGTATCAGGGTAATACTTGCTTTTAGGAATAAATTTGGGAGAATTGCTTTCATATCAATTTCATTAAAGAGTTTGAGGTGTAATGGCATGAGATATTTTCTAAATATCTTTTAGAATTCAGCAGTGGCTCCATCAGGGCTTGGGCTTTTCTTTTTTGATAGGTTTTTAATTACATCTTCAATTTGGTTTATTATAACGTATATCTTCTTTACTCAGCTTTGTTTGTATCTTTGATATGGCATATGTATCTGGGAATCTGTCCATTTCTTCTGTCTGTCATATTACATTTTTCCATCCTATTATAATGCAGGTTCTTAAAGTAGGTATTGATGATCATCTTGGTTTCTGCAGGATCTGTTGGGGTTTTACTGTTTTCTTTCCTACTTGCATAGATTTGAGGTATTTTTTCTTTTTTTTTTATAAGGTTGGCTAAGGGTTTGTCAGTTTTGTGAAAGTTTTTGAAGAAACAACTCTTCAATTATTGATTCTTTTGTTTTCTTAGTCTCCATTTCATTAATTTCTGCTTGATCTTTGTAATTTAATAATTTCCTCTCTTAGATGAGGTGTTGTCTTGACTTGCTTTTATTTTTCTAGAATCTTGAGGTTCATTATTAGGTTCTTTGTTTAGGGTGCTCCATTTTTCTGATACAAGAATTCATGGTTATAAGTTTTCCTCATAGGACAACTTTCATTGTGTCAAATAAGTTCCACTATGTTGTATTAATATTATTGTTGAATTGTAGAAACTGCCTCGTTCCTTCTTTAATTTCATCTGTGACTCATTGGTTACTCAGGAGAATGTTATTTAATTTCCATATGCATATGCAGCTTTTGTGTTATCTTTTGCAATTCATTTCTAATTGCATTGAATTATGGTCTGATAATATGCATAGGGTAATTTCATTTCCTTTGAACTTACTTAAGCATGTTCTGTGAGGTAGTATGAGGACTATTTTGGAGAATATATGCTTCTGAGAAGAATGGATTCTGATGTTGTGAGGTGGAACACTAGATATTTACTAAGTCCATTTGTTTAATTTTGTTCAGTTCTATTTCTTCATTGATTTTCTGTGTGTGTGTGTGTATGTGAGTGAGTGTGTGTCTAGTTAATCTTTTGTGACAATGGGGTATTGAGTTACAATTTTATTATTTGATTTTTTGTCTATTAGTACTTGTTTATATGGTTAGGTCCCTCCTCTTCCCTCCTCTCCCCTTCCCTTCTTTTTTGTACCAGGAATCAAACTCAGGACCTTGTGATTGTCAGGAAGTCTTAGTCTATGAAATTTTTTTTTTGGAATCAAGTATGTTTCTTATATGCAGCATATTGTTGGATTTTTCTTCTTGATTGATTCTGCCAGTGTTTCTTTTGATTGGTGAATTGAGAGCATTTATGTTTATAGTTGTAATGGAAAGT